ACACACACACACACACACACACACACACACACACACACACGTCCAACATGATTTTTAAACCACCAAGTCCAGGACTCTAACCGTGGTTGGCCATGTGGGAGTGCCTTAACCACCATGTACCTGTTGGTCCCCAAGAAAATTTCAACAGTATCTATCAAGAGATTTTTAAAAATATGTAATCTCTAATTATTTTAATTATTCCATTTCTTTCTTTTGATTTATTTTGTGTACTTTAAAAAAAATGAGATATATTTTTTAAATCTTTATTTCTTCCATGAGTGAGACAGTGAAACAGAGACAGAAAATCTCAGAGGGTATTGATGTCACAATCTACTCTCAGCTTCATTTAATCTTGGCACTTATTCCACTTCTAAGAATTTATGCTATGAAGGGACCAGTGGACAACCTAATGGTTATGCTGCTGGACTCCCATATAGTCAACTGCGGTTAGAATCCCACACTCAGCAGTCTGAAAGTAATGTCAGGAGCGTATGTGCCCAAGATCCCAAGAGGAGAATGGATTGCAGTTTGTCCATTCCCCCTGGGTGGTGATTTCTCACTTTCTGTCTCTCGGTTTCTCTTTGTCTCTCTGGTGAGCACACGCACTCTATAGCAAAAATCTAAGGGAAAAAAGAATTTTTTTCCTTTGCTATGAAAATGAAGATATTAGATGGAGAATTATTTGTAACAAAAAATGAAAACCTACGGTCAGCTCCATGGCCTAGTGGTTAAGGAAGCTGATCCCATACAGCCAACTGAGGTTTGAATTTTTTTGCACCAGAATAAACCTGTACTTCTTTATCTTTTTAGATTTTTTCAATAGGGTACATGCACTTGCTAGAGACAGAGAGAAACAGAGAGAGGGAAAGCCAGAAATCAGCCCCCCCCCTCAGGGAGAATTGACCATGTTACAATTCTTTCTCCTCCAATCTCCTCTCAGGATCTTGGGCACACACAAGTTTCCAGCGTGATTTTCAAGCTGCTAGGTCCAGAATGTGAACCATAGCTGGCCATGAGGGAACCCAGTGCCTAAACCATCATGCCATCTGCTGGTCCCTAAATCTGCACATTTTAAAAAGTTCACTTATTTCTATGTTTGTTTATTTATCTCTGAAGAGAGCAATAGTAAGAGAGTTAGCACCCAAACAGGGTCTTCATACCACAATCCACCCCCAGCTTCAGCTAGCCCCAGATTATGGGCACAAATGCATCTGGAGTACTCAGAAAAATCTCTGAATGTGAATGTGGAACCTTTCCATGTGTGTCAGCCTCACAGACCATCATGATTTATCACTATGCCACCATCCAACCTCAAATTCATACTTTAATTCCACCTTCCATGTACTTTTTGAAGTCCCCATGTATTAACAGCTCAATAAATGTTAAGTATTATTTATCATCTTACTATCTATTACTTCTGTTAAAAGTTTTAAAAACTAAACTATGAAGGTATCTTTTCAGGATAAACAACATAACAATAACGTTGGATTCCAGTTAAAATCACTTGGTTCGGAATCAGTAGATGGTGTAATGGTTACATCGCTGGACTACCACATGGCCAGCCGTGGTCCAAGTCCCACACCTGGTGGCTTGAAACTCAGGCTGGGAGCATGTTCATGCATGCATGAGATCCTGAGAGGAGAGTGGAGGAGAAGGAAGTGTGGTGTGGCCATCTCCCCTGGGGGGTGATTTCTCACTTTCTGTCTCTCTGGTGATTGCACACACCCTATAGCAAAAATCTCTCTCTAGAAAAAAAGACCACATGGCTCAGTTTATTTTCTTAAAAATGTTGCTACTATGCAATTTCATTACTGATTATATTTTTTATTCATTTAATCTTTAATACTAGATCCATTTAAGCATATGCGTTATTTTATTAAGATGTTAGATATACAGGGACCAGCAGATGGTGTAATGGTTACAGCGCTGTACTCCCATGTAGTTGACCATGGTTTGAGTCCTAGACCCAGTGGCTTAAAGCTCACGCCTGATAAGAATGCATGCATGCCCAGAATTCCGAGAGGAGATTGGAGGAGAAGGGATTACGGTGTGGGCCACCCATCGAGGGGTGATGTCTCACTTTCTGTCTCTCTATCTCTGTTTTTCCAGTGAGAGCACATATCCAACAGCAAAAATCTGTCTAACAACACAACAAAAAGATGGTAAAATTTTCTGATGGTGATTATGCTTATATTGGAATGGTAACAAGTGATGACAGTTCACAATTCTAACTTGGTATTATAATAGCCAGGGTGTCCCTGGGCTAGTGCAATTTGAGAAACACTTACAGGTTTAGACACATTAGGAGAGCTCGGTGAAGATTTAGATTCAAGATGAAATCTAGGTAAGGAAGCCACAGGACCTGGTATTGAGCTGACGTGTATTCGTGAATATATCAGGAATTCCTGTAGTTTAAAATTACATAGTACAGTGAATATATTCTATATAACCAATTGTGTCAAACTATTTAATTTTAAAATTAAAATAGTACTGTAATACTGTACCTTGATCAGGACTAAGTATCTCTTTCTTTATTCTCTTTGAGGATGAGCCATGGTTACCTCTGTTCAAAATGTCTGTAAAAATCATATTTATCTTAAAATTTGTTATTTGAATAAAATATATATTATGATTATAGAAAAAACTTTCCAAAAATATATCCATTCACAACCAATGATTGAAGTATATTTCTTTCCCTTAATGGTTA